CAGAGAGGCAGAGAGGCAGAGAGGCAGAGAGGCAGAGAGGCAGAGAGAGAAACAGGAGGCTTCAGTACTGAAGAGTCCACAGAATGGTTTCCCAAGTTGACTTAAATCCTATTAAATAATGAATCTTAGAGGGGAAAATGCCTTGACGAGTCTCTTGCATAGCAAATTTCAGATATCATCTATAAAAGAAGAGGCACTCATCAAGCAGTAAGGCTGGGTAGAGAGAAGTACATTAAAAGTTACGCTCAAATGTGGGGAAAGACCTTGCCTATTTTCAAAATGCAAGGAAGTAAATTCCCTTTTGCGAAGAGCTAAGTGACACAGAAATAATTCTTGTTTGCCCAAGAACAGAAGTTTTGATGCCAGCTGTGCTGTAAGGATTTGAGGCTCACATCAGATTCTTCTACACTATCCCAGGATATAATGATTTAATCTCCACCGCCTCTGATTGCAACCCTTCCCCAGAGCCCAAATGGCCAGAAGAGAAGTGTGAAGTGCTCAGACATCCTTCTCTCTCCAGAGTGGGTCATGGCAATCTGGCTTCTGTGCTCCCAGTCTTGCTAGCACCATCCCTGTCCCAAGCCCCCATGAGCACACTCCCAGTGTTCTGGCTTTCTCTGTGACCAGTTTTTTGCATACCCCAGGGCGCAAAGCCCTCCCCCTTGAGTAGCTGGTCTGTTGGTTTGCCTTTGGGTGAGGAAAAAACTGATCTGCATTTATTAGGGAAACCAAATATCACTGCCCATCAAGCTTTATTCATACTTCTCTCTACTACAGTAGAACATAAATATGGAAGCACTGATTCTTCCTTTATTACTGAAATCATTGACCAAATGAAGAAGGAGGGCATCGACATTAACACTCTCTCCAAGACATCAGCATCCTCTGAGCCAGTTCACACTCCCTGATGAACATTACCACTGCAGCATGAAGACTAAGCAGATGCAGCCACACATTTGCACCAGAGCCCTTTCTCCATTCTGAGCCACTCTGCTAGATCTTCTCCCCTGTCTTCTTTGTAACTGCTCAACAAATAGACTGAATGTAGAATAAAGCCCCCTTCTAGCCCACATACACTTTTCAAAAGTCATACTCTCTTCTTACAGCAGTGGAGTCAAAATGTTGCTCATTGCAACCTTAAAGAAAGGATTTTTCTGGTGATCATGCAACTTTCTTGTGAATTCCCATTCAGGACAGAGACTAGTTTATATATAACCTTCAGACCATGAATTGCTACTGGTTGCACCGCCCAGCTGTCTTCTCATCCTTCCCTGGATCTGGTGTCTCTGTGCTGGAGATTGCAGCGATCATGAGTAGATTTAACCATTGCAGCACTTGTTCATCCTTGCAAACAAGCTATGCCAAACCTCATAGGGAGTTCTGGCTTGCTTAAAGAGGTGAGAAATCCCAGTGAAAGGGCAAACAGCTCGGGACTATCAGCAATTTTCCTGCTCTAGTGAGTTTTAGCCAAGTTGTTCCATCTTCACTGGCACTAGAGTCAGTCAGCCCTGGAGCTGCTGAACTAACCAGGTGTAGCAATGTCTCAGTTTTTCTTGCCCAAGCTCTGCACTGTCTGCAGAAACCATCCAGGCACATGGCTGCAGTGCAGATATGCTTTGCCACCTGTTTTAGGAAACATACCTGTGTTCTCCACTTTCATGCATCAGCCCTATTCATTTGTCACCATTTAAGCAATAAGACAAAGTCTGAGAAGTGATGCATCCTTCTACAGCTTTTTGAGAGCCTGTTTGAAACTTTAACACAACTTACTGAGTCTTATGGTTGGAAATTTTTTCGTAAGTCCCAGCAGAATCAAACAGCTGAACAGGTTTGCACAACTATTTCTGGAAAAAAATCTAGCTGATGATAGTGAGAAAAAGCTACAGACACTCCACCACAATCTCATAACAGGAAGACTTGTGAGAAGCTCAGCACTTGCCTGCAGAAGATGAAAATATTGACTGGCTGCTCTGTCAGATCCTCAAAAGAAGGGCAGGGAGAGCAGGTAGGCATATGCCACTCAGCAAAGGAAAAATATTTCCTTGAGAATAATAGATATATACCAGAGACCAGACAACAGCCATTATCCATTTAACTTTCCTTCTGTTCAAACATAACTATGGCAAACACATAAGAGACAATTCCAGATATGAGTAATTTCACATTGTCACTGTTTATTCAGATAGGGTCATTCCACTAGTCAACCTGGACTGTACTGAGTGCAGCAGCATGCCTGCAGGAACAAAACATGACAACACAAGTACAGGAACTGAGACACACCTCATCAGTAAGCTTACTAGCTTTAGAGACAAGGATTTAAGAGTAAATAGAAGGAGCAAGGAACCAATTGCATGGCATCTAGAGTCCCAAGAACACCAAGAGGTATTAAGAAAACTAATTGAAAATTATTCCTGTTCCTCAACTATTTGCTGAACTATTCATCAAGGTAGTTGTGCTCCCCAGTGATTACTTCACCAAATATCAGATTGCCTTCACAGAGTAGGAATACAAGTATTAAATAGAAGAAAATAATTAAGACACTGCATTTAGGTGAAACAGATGAGCTGAGAAACATCAGTGCCACTATTTAAAGAAAGTATCACGTCAAAGAGAATACAAAATGGAGCACAAAAACAAGGAGAAACAGTTCAGAAAACATTTTAAATTTAAGTATACTGAATTAGAACAACTCATGACAGGAAGAGTGTGTAACCTCAAGGTAAGCAGGATCCCACAGCAGGATGGACCTGTACCTCCATCTCTTCAAGGACAGATTTATCCAACCCATCTCAAACACTTCCAATGACAAAGCTGCAGCAACACTGCCATTCTAAAATCTACCCTAGGCAGATCTTCCTAATACTTTGATTGAGCCATCCCTACTGCACTATCAGTACAAGAAAACATACTACCATCTGCCCCCGCCTCTATAATTATGGAAATATTTTGTTCTCTTCTCCCTTACAGTCCTTCCACACATTCAAACTCATACTTTAAGTGCTTCAGAGAGACTGACCTCTTTCTTTCTGCTGAGCATGTAGGTGATAGTTTCTAGCCCTCCAATCATTCTGTTTCTTCACATTTACCCTCCCAGGTGCACCTCATTTTTATTTAAGCTTTCTGCCTTAAAGGAAGTGCAAACAAACAAACAATTGACATCACCTGATGGGTGCTCAATAAGTTTTTCTCCTTCACTACAACACTTTAATTTTGACAAATTTTCCCTAGCTTACTTATAACAGTATGTGAGATAATGTCAAATGTCAACTCCTGCTGATTCTTTCCTACATGTAATATGTTACCATTTTGTAAAAAGAATTTAGATTGACTTAATACAGTTTGTTCTTGACAAATTCATAATGGATGTTACAAACTTTCTTGTTTCCTCAGGGCTGTCCACAAAAATCCGTTTAACTATTTGTTTCAGACATTTGCAGAGAACAGAAGCTAAGTGACTGATTAGAAATAATTCTCCAGTTCCCCCCTCTCCCTCCTTTTTTTTTAAATTATAAATTAAAAAACACACCTGTCATTTTCTACCCCCCTGGACCCTGCCTGACTCTTCTGTCACCAGAACTGTTTTGTCTCCCAGAGGACAGTGAGCTGTATCATTCTGTGATCACCATTACATAAATTGCCCTCCAAAACGAAATCCTCAGCTCTCCATACTAGCTAGAAATAAATGTTAAGGACTTACCCTCCAAGTTGCTTTCACTAGCTCTGTATCAAAACTATCCACCAGCACATTAAAACCTGGATGAACCATCTGTGACCTGTCATCTTTTGTTTTCAATAAATGCTTGGTAATTAAACTCTCATTAACACCACATCCTGCTCTGAATGATTCCTTGAGTTCAGTTTTGCTGGGACATCTCTGCCGATCTTCTAGCAGCAGGCAAATTACATTTGGTGATTTGTCAGCCTGAGGGAATGAGCTGTACAGTTTCAGGGAAGAAATCTCCTACTATCATTAGAAAACACAGAAAGGGAGAGAGCAAAAATAAACATTTACCTGTATTATGAAGTAGATGCTAAAAGAAGACACACTGCAGCATCATATTACCAACACACAGGTTCTTTGTTGTGCTCTGACTCAATTTAGTTCTACTAGCAAAGGCCATGCAAAGGGAAAGAATAGGTTCACAGAATACCCTGACTTAGAAAGGACCCACAAGGTTAAAGTCCAACTCCTTCAATCAATAAGAATTTAGACTTTGTGTATGAAAGCACAGGAAATGCATTATTGGATCAGAACTGTGGTGAAACCTAGGTAAGCACAATGAATATGTCAGTTGGATTCCCCAGTTCATGTCGTTTGATAAAGATATAAAATTTGAAGAGAAGAGCAAGGCAGGATGTCGTTGCAGAGATGAAGACTTTCCAAGATAATTGTGTTTATCATCTTCACTTTCAGTGACTTTGCTCTTTCTTACAATGCCTGGCCAGGTGTAGAAATCAAACTCATTGCTCTGTACATTCCTGGATCCTTTATTGCCCTATTTTATAGGTAGGAATTACATTAGTAATTCTACTGTTCTTGGCCACGTCCAGCAGTGGGTTGGATAGGCAGAATTTCACCATGGAGTTACTTCTGTAGCCCGAGCTGCACGCTTTCTAGTCCTAGGGACTTATTAATGTACCTGACTGGTCTAACCCAATCTGGCTCCTCAATCCTTCCTGCTGAAGGAATCCTGAAAAAAGCATTGGGCATAGGAATCTCCTCAGCAGAAGAGAAGACCAATGCAAATAAATTGAGCTCATGGAGCCCAGTGGAGCTCACAGAAATACTGAGAGAACTTTTCATCTTTAGTTAGCAAGTGATCTTACCAATTCCATGTCCAGCTTCCTGCCTCTGACACATCTGAAGAACTCTTTATTAGCACCTCAGGCATCTTTTCCAAGGCTACCTTTGAGTCATTTGTATGAGGGAGTTTTTTGTCTTCCTACTTGCCTGTTTACATTTGACCTGCCATATAGGCAGGTCACAAGGGCCCCTCATTTGGACAATTTTTCCATTTTTTAATACCGAATCTCTTCTTGTGATAGCCCTGACTTTTCTTCTATAAAGGCATTTTACCGGACTTACATTTTGTTTTCTTAAAAAGTTACCTAAGCTTATAATACATCATTTTTTTTTAGAAGCCTCCGGTTTTCTCACTTTCTAGTCTACTGCTTTCAAGGTTGTTTTATTCTGTTGCTGCCTTTTTTTGCAAGATATTTCATTTATACTGAGTTGCCTTTCTTGAAATTCAATATTCATGTTCTGTTAATTTGTCTTGCTCTCACTAAAATCTGGATAGGTAGAGACAGATGTTACAGAGCCTATGGATGCCTCTTGAAGCAGGCACCACGCATACTTGGAACCAGTGACAGGTCAGTGTCTTCTCTTACAGCTTGCTCTAGGAAACAGCCACATAACATGTCAAAATTTGTTACCTCTGCACCTTGCCCTAGCACTGCGTCAGTCCAGTCTATAGAGGGAGGTTACAACTACACACTTTACTGCTGTCTTAAAACTGCAGTTCCTTTCATTTCATGGAACATTCCATGGAATATTTCCTGGTCATGTCATGATCGTTGGTCTTCAACCTGAGAAGGAGATTATCGGTATGATCCTATTACAAAACCTCGTTATTTGGTATTCCATAGCAATCTTTTTTCCTTGGAGCATTTTTGTGCTGTTACATTCATGTTACCCTCCAAATACAGTGGCACTTCCCAGCCAATATAGCCTGTTTTATCATGCCTGCAAGGTTGGTAGCCTGGCAACACTATATCCCACTCCTTAACCTCCTCCCACCATGTCTTGGGATGGCTGCTCCATTAGGGCAGCCATTTGAGCCCTACCATTCTTTTGCCCCCTTCCTTTTTAGGCAAAAGGAACTGCTGTAAAACCACATGCATGCTTTGCCTGAACTTTGTTGCTCAGCACTGCTGGTCAAGGGAGACCACAACAAATCTAATTTTCTTTGTTTATTACAATTTAACTCGCCCTTTTTTTCCTTCCCAATCTTTTCAGAGGTATACAGCTTGGCCTCAAGCCATTGCACAGCCTTACAGGCTGCACAGCTCCATCTTGTTCCAGGAACTTCCTCATTTCCCAACATGCTTTAATACTGTCCCTCTGCTCCTTCGCTTCCTCCATGCACTGGGGTTCTTTGCTTGCTTCCTAAGCCCTGTTTATGGCCCTGATAATATTTTAGACAGCACAGGATCCCAGTCTGCTGCCTCATAGAACATTCCTTTATTGGCATCAACAGTGACTACAACCGCTAGCTTCTTGTGGCGCACTGAACAGACCTCTCATGTGATCCACTGCCTCTATGCATGACAGGCAGGTTACAATGCACTTCACACACCCACCTGTCCACTTGCCTGTTCCAGGGGGCTATCACTCACAGCACAGCTTGTGCAATTTTGCCAGGGACTCACCACTCTCCTTCTGCCCTTCTTTTCAATGTTCAGCTAAAGTTTCTCTTGGTTTTGAAACATTCTGGCACTCAAATGGCTGTCGTTTAGGCAACAGAATTGAGATCCTTAGAAATGTGAGGTTTGGCACAGAACAGTAGAGAAAGGATCCCAAGCTAGAAACAGAGATGCTTTTGGCACAGCTAGCTACAAAATACAATAGATGCTACTTCCGCTGAGTAAAATAAGGATGAATAAAAGAGAGTTAAAAATCCTTTTTTGAGAGCAGAGTGATTTTTCTTGATCAATTTGATGCAAAGGCAGCTGCTAAAAAATATTTTATGGTAGCAAGAAAAATGGAAATGGCAACAAAAAAGCAGCCAAAGGCTCTGTGCCTGGTGCATTCTTCCAGGCTGCCACTAGTACACACCTCCTAGCAGGAATCAACTTTTGTTAGCCATGCCAAAAAAGGTTAAAAAAAATTAAAAAATAAAAAAATAAAATAAAAAAAGAATCCTAGAATGCTGGTTTTGAAATCAGAATTTTGATTATTCCTTTCCAGCAGGTTTTATAACCCTGTCACATTATTGTTACACACTACACACTTTGTTATAAGCCCCATTTAGCTATTAGTCTCTTTTGAATTTGTACACTGATTTAGTCATGAATGATAGGATCTCAGACAGAACATCTGTTGTGGTTTAATCCAGCAGCAGCTGAGCATCACACAGTCAGTCACTTACTCCCAATCCTTCCCCACCCCCCCCTGGGATGGGGGAAGAGAATCAGAAAAAAAAATACAAACTAACAAAGCAGAACTTGTGGATTGAGATAAAAAATATTTACTAAGACAGGAAAGGAAGATGAAAGGAGAATAATAACAATAAAGATATAATACATATACACACAAAACAAGTGGTGCACAAAACAATTGCTGACTGATGCTTAGCCAATCCCCAAGCAGCAGCTGCTTGCCCGACAAACTCCCCACCTTTTTTTGTTTTGGTTTTACATTTTTTCACATGAGGTCACATGATATGTAATATTCCTTTGGCGAGTTTAGGTCAGTTGTCCTGGTTCTGTCCCATCCTAGCTCTTTGCGACCCCTCAGTTCTCTTTACTGGCAGTTGAAGAAGTTGACACGTCTTTGGATCTGTGCAGTGCTGCTCAGCAGCAACTAAAACGTCGCTGCATTATCGACATTGCTTTTCTCCCATATCCAAAACATAGCATCATATCAGGAACCATAAGGAGGAAAAGAAAAAAAAAGTCACTGCTGAAACCAGAACAATATTATAGATAATTATTTCCGACCTTATAACTATAAAGGCAAATAAAAATGCCATTAAAGCTTTTATTTCCAGTATACAGTCACAAAGGTCTTCATGAGGTAGCGTCTGTGCTTTTGAAGGCATTTAACATCTACACAAAAATATCAAAAGGAGACAATCTTGCTGAAGAACACATAATCAAACTGCTTTGCTTCTTCATACAGCTACAAGTTCTGCACGTTCTTTCCAAATACAATACAGATTTGAAAATGCATCAGTTTTCTATACAAAAATGCTCTTCCACATGGCCAAGGACATAGCATAGTGCCACAGCGCATTGTACCATACACTCACAT